GGACCAGGGACTGGATGCAGCGCTGGATGCTCAGGCGCCGCGAGTCGCCGGGGCTCTGCGTGGTCGCCGTCTGCTGGTTGTTGCTCTCGTCGTCGAGACCGAGGCCTAATTTTTCCATCTTGTGGTCGTGGTTTTTAGTGTTATAGCAGGTGATGCACAGGTCGTAATCCTGGAAAGGCAAGGAAGGGAAAAGTTATCGGTGTTCCTGTAAAGGGTGTCGCGTCACCTCAACAAATCACTCCTAGTCTGTTCCTGGCCAATTGCTCCTCTAGGGAAAATTCAATCTTTTGCACCATGTTGAGGTACTGGAGAAGGAATAAATTCAAACTGTAGCCAGAGAAAGCGTGGGGGTGTAAAGGTGTCTCGAGATCTGCACAAACATATACAGCTTGAAAAACAGGTTTGCTCTGGGCTGATGTCACAGGTTATTCAGCTAGGCCAGAAAAAGCCCCTTCTTTCCCAAGAGGAAAGAAAAAAAGCTCAAGGAACAAACATCTGCCCATCTACTGCTGCTTCAAAAGAAAAGGGGCAAGAGTGGCAGGAGAGGCACCAATTTTCAAAGAAGAAAGGAGCATGAAAGCTGCATTTTTAGTTTTCAGGCAAGTTCATCAGCAAGGCGTGCTGACCAAGGAACAGAACAGCATTTACCTTCTGCAAAAGCAACACCACAAGAGTTTGGGCTCAACTCTTTAAGAAAATGATCCAAGCCCTCAAGATTCGTTAATCCATAGGAAATTTAGAATTTATTTTCTGGTATGTATGAGAAAAATGGGAGCACCAAATTTTAATCAGAAATTTTCATAACTGAACTTAAGGCAGTCATTTACTTTCAGCAGGCAAAGAAAAAAATCACATTACAAGGCAGATTCAAGGTTAGTCCACCTTCAGGAGGGCACAGCACTGACCCAGATGACTAGGCTTGATCTTCAAACACACTGGTACTACAAAAACACTTCTGAAGACCAAAATGCTGTTCACAGCATTCTACAGAGACACAACAGGGTAATGGAAGAATCACCCAAGAACAGGAATCTGACTTCTAGCAGAGCAAAGCCTCTAGACCAGTAAAGCACTGCAGAGCCCTGTTTACAGAAATACTGCAGCACAACACTTCTGACTCTGGAAGAAGAGAGGACACATTGCTCTTCAGACCAATCAGCTGATCCTACTGCTGCAGCTCAAGCAATTGCTACGGTTCCCAACTGCTTGAGAAGCAGCACCTAAAACGAACTGCAGGAAATACAACTCTGCTTCAGTTCTACACAGCCTCAAAGTAGGAGACAAAAGTCATAGCAAGTAGCAGATTAGAAGAGTTGCTTGTTACAGAGAACGGTTTCCCTTCCTCTCTTTCTGAACACCCAGCAGACAAGCTGTAGAGATCTTTTTCCATCAGCTGATACTGAGAAATTAGTCCAGTTAGAGTGCTCTGAGTGAAAGCTTCCCCTAGCCTACCTCACAGACAGTGCAGTGCCATCTGGTCTCCACGTGGTGCTTGCACTCGTTGCAGGTGTAAACGAAGCGGTCTTGGCTCTGGGTGTGCAGCTCCACCAGCATGCACATGGTTGACCACTGGGCCCTGCGCAGTGAGGAGAACTCCAGGTGCTTGTCCCTGGCGAGGGTCAGGAAGGCGTCGCGCCCGTCCATCAGGTCGCAGGGGATGAGGGGGTCAGGCTCCACGATGGGGGGCAGCGAGTTGGCTGCAGGGCCAGCGATGAGGCGGATGACAAAGAAGACCTGGAAAGTAGGAAGATTTAATATGCCAGCACTAAGCAAGATGCTTCAGTCACCAAACTTCGTTACATAGGGTGTACAAAACCAAGACTAACCAAGACTTGAATGATGTGTTCATTCACACCAGGGTGGCATGCCTGTAAGGACTATGAATTTTAAATCTCTTGGTGCCCTGCAGGTTTACCTTCTTCAGAAGCATTAAGTAAGGAGCACTGGACTGAACAGTAACAGTAAAACTGTTGTGACAACCTGAATTGTTATGAAGTTCTATACAGGCAGAGTTTTATTTCTCCCCACTGCTCTTGCAGCAAGACACACAGTTACTGGTACTTGTCAGGTGTCTCACAATTCTCCAGCCACATCTGTAAAATTTCCAGGGTATGACTGAAATGTCAAAGCCTTGGACATCCCTCTGCTGAAGTAAAATACATGTTTCTCATTCTATTATCTCTTACCTCTTTGTGCTTCTCCATAGTGGCATACAGCTTTTGGGAGAGGTCATTGGACACATTGGGCATGCCAGGCTTTTTCTTATTGCCACGACTCAAGCTGCTCTTGTTCTTACTTGTCTTCTTATTGTTCTTCTTTTTGGCATTTTTACTGTCTCCCTTGCTCACCTATTAATTTTAAAGGCATTTTATGTCAGATAGCCAAGTCCCACCACACAAGCTTTTTATTACTTCCACATCTTGTATGACTGCAGGACAAAACACACTTAACAATAATCCACTCTGAAGACACTTACCAGACTCCCCTGAAACATTAAATTAATTCCATTAGAATTACTCCATAACATACCAAGATCAGCAATACAAAGTTCTAAAAATATTAAAAGCATGAATACTCAGGGGATGCACAGAAATGTTATTTACTGAAACCTGTTTTGTGAGCTGTAGATGAACACAGAACACCCTCTTGGATAATCACAAAGGGGTCCAGCAGATGGCCTCTCAGTGCAATTCAAAACCAAAAATAACTGAAAAAGTACAACTGACATCCCACTAACCAAAGGTAGGAAAGACTTAATCCCACCTAGATTTGGTTTGTTATAACTCTGACATATCTATTTTTATTTCTTATGCATTAAACTGATTTTGTTATAACCCTGTTCTGAGTCCAAAAGGCATTAGTACAGTGCAGCTTCTAGTATGTACCTTTCTCCTGTCATATCCTGCAACAGTCAAAACAGGTCAGCTTAACTTCAGTGATAATCAATTAGCAATGGCCAGTTTATTGCTCTTTGTGCTTCTCAGAGGGCCCCCACACGACAGCATGATGATGAAGGATCAAAGCAATTCTTATCCAAATAAGCATTTTTCCTAAGCTTAAAATAACTTTGTCAGGATGGAAATTTCCAGTGAACATGAATAACTACCTCACTCTTCACTGGGGAGTGCAATTTACTATCACCTCATTTTCAAGAGGTGAAACACAGGATCAAGAAAAAGTTACAACTGTTTTAAATAATCAAGGTTAAATAGTAACATGCTGCAAGCTCCTCCCCCATGGGATTTTGGGCACAAACTCTGTGCAGCCCAACAATAGTTCAGTAGTAATTTTTGCTTCAGATCCTTAATGCCTTAAAGCCTTCTACTAAAAAAGCCTATCCAGAGTAAACCACTGGATCACAGCATTCTGGTACCTTCTCAGAACCTCCTGCTAAGATTGGTATTGTAATATCCGAGTTTGGAAGAGTCAGCCACTGTTCAAAAGCTAAAACTTAAGGAAAAAGCTTCCAAGTCATAGGAGTATAGAACTCAGTAGTATTTTAACAGCGCTGATTTCTAAAATGTAAAGTTGGAATTTATGGTAGCAGGAAGCTAGACAGGTGAACAAGCCAGTAAACCCAAGTGCCTAAACCCCCTCCTTTTTCTTCTTCATTAGTCATATGGAATCACAGCTTTGAAATCAGATCATGAAATGCAGGAGCAACTCTTACATCCGTGCTTTCATTACTAGTGTTTTCTTCTCTCTTCCTTTCTTCTTCCTCTTGCTCTAGTTCTTTAATGCTCTCCTCCAGAACGTTGGGCCAGAAATCCCCCTCAAAGTAAGGCAGCTCCTTCGCACTCGTCAGACGATCTTCTGTTGCCTGCTTGAATATATCCTGAAAAAGAGCAAAACACTTGGTTACCACTTTGCAAGTCCCACTGAAAAGGTTGCCTTCACTTCTAAGTGATAAAAAAAGGCACCAGCAGATCAAAAGGAGAGCTTAATATTTCAATTCATTTTATGAGCTGCACATTGTAGGTGTAGATTCAACTCTGCATCACTTAGACTGTCAGATGTTCCCACTTCCAAGAAATAAATCTAGTGCTAGTCTTCCATATGCGTACATACCAAATGGCATAATATAATCACTATACTGTTGACACTAGCTGAAGTCCTGATCATTCCAAAAATTTTCCATACTTCTGTGTCAACAGCATAACCTTGCAATTTTATTTACCACAGGAGGATTAAAGATTCCACCTAATTTCTTTGTAGTAATGAGATGAGATTTTCTCTCTTTTACAGGACTTCAAGAATTTAGTTTGTTCTAAGGAATCGTTTCAAATCTTTTGCTAGAATAATTTCAGAAGTTACATGCTTTGAAGAGGATGAACTCTAAACTTCTAGTGCTCAACTGACTTAAAACTAATACATTAAACTCCAAGAATCAGGCACAATGGTAAAGAAGAAAGCAAGACAAGAGTGGTCACCCCCCCCAGTACAAACCTTGTAATCATGGACAATACGCTCTGACACAGATTTGTCCAGCATCTTCTTGTACCACTCTTGCAGTCGTTTGGGCTTGGGTATCTTTTGGTCAGGAGGATGGCAATGGAAGATGTAGTCATCTCCTTCACTAGGTGGGCATGCCCAGATATGTCCAGTAGTATACCTAGAATCGTTAGACAAAAAGAGACATGTGGGCTCTGATGATTAACAGCAGAGCTTGCTCCCCTCTCTGCCACGAGATGGAGCCACCACAAAGTTGGCTGGTGTTACTGGATGGACAATAATTACAGCTCATCAAGACTTGAAAACTCTTGTGTTTACTCTGGCTTCATTCGTGCAACAGCATAACCATCTTTTCACTAATTTTTAAAAAACTATTTCTATATGTGGAGTAGTTTATATAAAGTGTGCACATTTTCCACTCGAGGTAAAAATGAAATCCTGATATAGACTTGCTGCTGCCACTCTCCAGCTAGTAAGAGAAAGATGGAGAATAAGTATTTCAGTAGTAAAAGCCAGAATTATTCTTCCTAGAGACAGTGCAGTCATTCATTATGCAGCAATATTTTTAAAACCAGACTTAAACACACAATTTACTTTACTAATGTAAATCCCTTTTTTTTTTTTTTAACTTTGAGGATCAGTTTTAAAAGGTTTCACAATTATATCTGTGAATAAACAGTCACTGTCAACCTGTGCTGTTGGGTGTACAATTTAAGTACTACAAAGACAGGTGACATTCACACAGTAGCAGCTGGAGAGAGAATCTGATACCACAAAGATCACTTCTTCCTCAGTTCCACCTTTCATTTCTTCAGTTGTTCTGTGCTCTTTCATGCTGTCCCAAGTATACTCTCCTCCTCTTCTAACTTTTCAGTTTCTCAGCATTTCAACAACTCATTCTATAGATTTTGTAGTGGCCTTACACAGTTGTTACAGAGTTAATCAGTACAGACAGAATACACTTACCTTTCTCTTCAGAAAAATGGGCAAGGGCTTACTTGCAAGCCCAAAGGAATGACCTGATTAAAGCAGTGACATGACACAAGGACTGCACCATCAACAAGGCCAGCAAAATTTTATGGTCCAGATAAAAAGGCACATTTTTTCTACTTAGACTTAGGAAGTTTTATGTAAGTTTGGAAACCTAAAAATACCTGAAGCATAAGCCTCTCCAGAAAAACCTGCAATCCCTTTTTACCTTCTCTCCTTTTCAGCTCTGCACAGTTGTTGCCAAGTTATTCTATCACCAGATGAAGTTAGGCACCATATTCTCCACAACAAGATGATGTAATTTCATTTGCAATTAGAACTACCTAGCACAAATGCTGTACAGAAGAAAACAATAAAAACAAAGCTTACCCTAGTTTCTTGACATATTCTAGATATCCAATTAGTATTTCATGATAGACAGCAGTCCTCAAGCATTTAGGGCGGAAGAAATGAACACTGTCAAGGTAAGATATATACACTCGCCTAAAAAAAAAAAAAAAAAAAAACCAAACCAAAGATATGATGAGAAGCAGAAGTTTCAAAGTAGTTCTACAAGTTTATTCATGTTTTTTAATACATTTGAAGCATCCAATACAACAGCAATCTTCAAAAACTCTGATCCTTATTTATCTCTAGAAAAAAAGCTCTCTGTTGATATCCAAGCTTCAACTCTCTAAAATTATCCAGTCCTTTCCTTGAGAACACTGACAACTGATCCTGAAGGCAGCACTGTCTGCCAGCCAGCATCCCCAGCAAGGGCTCTGACGCTCCTACAGGAGCTGCTTTGTTTCTAGAAGCAAACAGGACTAAGAATCTTCACGTACCCAACACCGAACCTCCATACAGAGCTTCAGAGGGTTCAACCCAACTGAGACAGCACCAAGATAAACTAAACTTTGCTGCAGCTCCTCACCTTTGATTGGGTGGAGGACAGTCTGAGCCGTACTCCTGCACGTGCATCCCAAAGAAGCACAAATCCACACCATCAATCTCCTCAAAGGCAAAAAGTGCTTTGGTTCGATACGGGAAGGACTCGGCCATCTCCCCACTGTCCACAAACCTGCACATTTGCCAGAGGGGGAAGAGGAATATGTTGACGTAGCAAAGAATACATGCCACTAGGTAAAGGCAACAATGAGGAATGCTGTAAATATCATTTTAGCACAATCTTTAAATGTTTACAGGCTCACAAGTAATTAATATGCTGCTGTAACATCTCTGTCAACAACTGGTCGGTGGGGAGGCTTTGAGTACAACAGGATTTTTTGAAATAGTAGCATGTAAGTAAATGCCAATAGCTTTCTCCTCCCCCAAAAGAAAGGAAAATGAAGCGTGGGAAGCTCATACCTTGCTTTCATTCCTGGTTTTACTTCCACAGTTTTGTCAGAGGCATGTACCACCCTAACTGTAACCTCTCCTGCCTCAGGGTGATTCTGTCGTCTTAGGAAATCATTGACTCTGTTCTCCAAGAAGGTACCAAGTCTTGTAGCTGGTAACCCTGCAGGAGGGAAAAACAGCTCTAAACACACAGAAACCAAATTGTTCAAATGTTGATTTCTCCCTTCAGATGTTAAATGGAAAGTGACTCAATGCATGCAGCATGCTACCATAAATCAAAGCTTCATCTCTCAACACTAACACCCTGCATGGGGTGAGCTGCTTTTTACCTGCAGGTGCATTTAAGACTTACTCCTTAAATGAAGAAAGAATCTGTAATTCAGCCCTATTTTTATCTGTCTTAAAAGTCAATGACAATTAAGGCTCCTCCTGAATAGAAGCTGTTAATTACTTAAACTGGATTAATAAACACTGCTCTCAGACACAGTTTCAAGAGCAGACATTGCATTTAGATGCATATCCTCTCTACAAAGCCACACTAGCCAAGTTAGTCTCTCCACTTACCAAAATGATGCATTTCAATAATGGAAAGAACATTTAAACAAAACTGTGCCTGCCAGCAATGTAGTTATAAGGTTCTAATTTTCATACAAAGGAAGTACAAGTGTAACATTAGCTGACAAACCTAAAGCTGAGAGGGAATTTAGGACTTCTGGTGTAACAGGGCCTGCCTCACTGCTGTCCTCCTAGTAGAGCTGCATACCTGCCAATCATCTTTTCATTTTTCCAATTTGATATCTTTCAGTAAAGTGTCACTATACTATGTTAAGTTTACAATACATTGAGGTTGCTAGAAACAAACTGATAAAAACTGTAGAACCACTCATATTCTCCCTGAATCTAGAGGGTATTGATTTTGGAGATTTTTGGGAAAAGACGTTGAAGTCATTCATTGAAGGGTTTCCTGAATCTTGATGCTATTGGTTGGCTGAGGAATTATGTTTTCCTAAGTTAGAAATGTAAATACTTCCTATCTCTAAGAAGCATGCCTATCTAAGAAGCTTCTGAAAGACTTCCTTTGACTAGAGAACAGATGGACAACGACTGCACAAATTTCCTTCTATGCTGCCTCCAAATCAGCTGCTTTGATCAAGAGGAAATGTCTACAGAGTGTTGTTACCAGGTGATGCAACCTTTATCTCCATCAGGCCTCTTAAGAGCAGCAGTATTCACGGTGACTTGAGCACATTATCATAAATTTAGACTGCAGTCACAGAGCAACTACTTCCCAATGCTATTAATACTGCAGTTGAGATAAAAGGATGTGTAACTTGCATTAGCAGTGCTTTAAACCACTGTGTTAACCCTCTACAACAGACAATTAGCCAACAGGAACACCTGCCAATGCAAATATTCTGAACATCACAGAACTGATGTTCAGAACTGACCCAAATCATCCTCCTTTAACTCAAAAAAAAACCAGAAATAAATGAAGAACAAGCACAAAAGACACTTCTTTGTTAATTATTAACAAATTATTCCAGATTTGTTGGTGTAAAGATCAGAATCTTACTTTTAGCAGAGAATTTGTTCTCTTTCCTGGTTCGTCCTGTTTTCTTTAGGCAGCCATCACAGACAAAGCTGAAGCAAAAATAAGAGAAAGTACAAAACCACCTCAGTTCAGGCCATAAAGTTCCTTCAGCATCTTACCACGAAAAGCAAAATCTTTCAAAAGATCTTATCTGGTCCGGAAAATACCTCAATGGAAATTTGAAATAAAAGAGAGCACAAAAAGCAGTGCCAGGAGAACCAGCTCAACTGTTTCAGATCTGCAGAGAAGGATCTAAGCTCCAGGGGGTGTGTCACCTGCCAGTCACCCATGTCACCATCTGCACACCCAGGGAGCAGGGTCTCCTCTGGCAGGTCTAACAAGATTTGGCTTAAAATATTCTTGGAACAAATAATCTCAAGCTGCTGACCCTGATGAAGATGAGATACTGCAACACATCCAGCAAAAGGCTGATTTTTTTCTAATTCTTAAGTACACTGTGGCAGGAAATGATGGACAGACTCAGTCAGAGGATTTCTGCCCTCTTCTGCAGCACTGTGGATGGGACAACAGAATGGTAAAAGTCATAGTTCTCTTGTCAAGAAAGGGAATGTTTCTGCTCTTATAGAGCTTTATCTACATATAGTTTATAAGGTTTTTAAAAAAAGCTTTTAAAGCAATCAGAAAAGCCAGTATGTTGATCAAAACCCACGGAGTAACTAAAAAAACCTACTAGATTGGTTTTCAAATTTAATCTGATCACTAAGGACAAAAAAGTGAATTCAGCTATTACATTCTTTTGTTGTCACAAATTCTCCTGGAAGATGACATACAGAAATGGTCACTAGAACTAAAAGTTTCTCTTGTTCTCCTCATGAAGGGCTGGTAACTTTAAACATAAAAGGCTGAAAGGTTCTCTTCCACACAAAGAAATGTTAGAAACATTTAAGATGAGAAACAGCTTCACACACAACACAGTCAGATATGCTGCCTAAGTTTGATGTTACCCTATAGTAAATTTTTTAGGTGGGAATGCAACTTCTTCCATTAGACACTCTTTTAAAGATAGCCAGTGTAAGCAAGTTTCTCTACACTAACTCCAGGAAATCCATCAAATGCTCTCTACTTAAGAAGGAGGAATTCCTCACCCAGAAGGCCAGATTATCTCATTATGAAGAACACAGATCTGGTGCATTTTTCTTCCACACTCTATACATTCAACAAATCTGTAGAAGGAAAAAAAGAGGGAAGCAAGGTTAGTAGTATCATTACTTGCTTGTATATTTTGTAGTATTTTATTAGAGGACTTTTGGCATTTAGGCTCCTGCATCCATTTAACATAGAATGCTTGAAAACAGCCTCCAGAATGAATTAATCTTTCAGCTCAAGTCAGATAGACTACGCAGGGATACACTATTAACATTTTCTTGCCTTACTACCATCCACTTTGCTCATTTTTTAAAGCAAAGCCCTTTAGGATAAAACCTCTAACTGCTTGTTACTGTAAGAAAGAGAGGAAAATGGATTCACAGGTGTCAGAAGCAAAGAGCCAGGAGGAAGAGCTGGCTGTTAGTTGCCCCACTATGCTTGAAGCCTGGGGTATATTGCAGATACACTGCAGAAAAGTGGGAAGGAAGAAAGCAGAGGCAGTATCAAAGTCACTTTCAGAAGTAAAATATAAGTAGCAGAGATTTAAGGACAACTGAGTTAAGTGATATGGTCTATTTTACAGATGCTGGTGAATGTAATTTTCCAAACTACCTAAGGCTGCTTCATGTATTTGTATTTCAAACAATCTGTTTGAAAAGGTCTGTTTGTAGGAGTCTGGCACTTTGAGTGAACAGCTCTCATTTCTGTAGAGCATATGTATCATGTTCTATGTCAGGCCTGTATTCTAGTATTAGCTCTATCTCCACTAGAACACAGGGAAAGGAAAGTTATGAATCAAGTTACTATTCACTCCTTCCCACAGTTCTAGTGAAACAAGAGAACTGGGTGACCCTTATGCCCTTAGAAGGCTGGTGTGGGAGGAATACAAATCCTTTCTGCTCATTCACTGGAGAGGAAGACAGTTCCTGCAGAGCAGCAGCACAGGTGTATAAGGCCAGACGATGTAGACTGGCTTCATAAAACCCACTTGGTAGCAAAGAAAAGCAGCTGAGTCACCATCATCTTAACTTCACTGAATGTCTGCAGCTCTGTTTCCAGAGCAGTGCAGAAGAATCAGTGGATTCAAGTTTAACTTTTCCTTCTACTACAGCTGCCTCCAAAATATGGACCAGAAAATCCAAAGGCAGCAGAACAGCTACTGTCAAATGTCTCAAACCAGTTCTGAGATGTGACCATTTCCCAGGAGAGGCTTTCAGAGTTATC